CGGCCGTCCCCCGCCGCCCGCTACCCCGGGCTCGCCGCGTCGCGCCCGCACGTCCTGAGCCGAGCCACCGAGCGATGCCCACTGGGCGCCCGCGAAAGTTTGTCGGCTCCGCTGAAGGGCAGCGGCGCCCCCGCGTCCCCGCGCCCCGCTCCGGCCAGGTGAGTGTGCGCCCCGCTCCCGCCGGCGCCAGAGCGGCTCGGGCGCTCGGCGGGGGTCGCGTCCGAGGCGGCTGGGGACGACCTCGCCGCGGGGGGAAGGCGAGCGATCCCGCGGCGCCGGGGTGAGGGCCGGGGCGGGGGCCGGGCCAAGCGGGCGCTCCGAGCCCCCGCGCCGGGAAGTTACCCGGGCCGAAGAGTTTCCTGCCCCGACGTGCGGGCTGTGTCCCTGCGTGTGCCCCGGTTTACGAAAAGACGCCCGAGCGGCTCAGAGTTGGTATTGTCTGCAGAGGACGGGCTCTTTGCCGCTCCGGGCCGGGGAGGGGGTGCCGATCAAGTAGAGACCCCGAGATGAGAAACAGGCTCCTAACAAAGATTCCCCCCCCCCCAACTGTGCAAGCTTGGCACCGGCTGGGAAGGTCTCCGGAGACCCCCGAGGCCCGACCTCTCCTCGCCCTGTCTCTTCGAAACCTTTCTTAGGCTCTGGATAAGTTGGGGGACGGCGGGCTTTTATTGATTTGTTTTTAAGGCTTGCCGCGGTGCGGCCAATAAAAGGTTTATGACATCTGACCGGCAGTGAAGGTATGCGAGCTCCCAATTGCCCTGTATACGCGAAGAAGAGCAGTTTCCCCGTTGCATGGCAACGCCGCTGATTGACTCGGGAAGCAGCCAATCGTTGCTCCCTTTCGGCCCCTTGAAATATTTTTGACAAGTACAGTAGACGGGAGTGGAGCGCGTGCGTGCTTGCTTGCGCGCGCATGGCGGGGGGGGTGGGGGGGGGGTGGGGGTGTTCGCTGGCCCCCAAAACTCCAGACTGCCGGGTTCGGTTTAAGGAGGATTTCTCAACTTTTAAAAAGTTCACGTTGAGCATCTGTGGAGAACTGGGCCATAAAGTCATTGTCAGTTATTTGGAAACATTCTGACACTAGGCAAGAAACTTAAAGACTTTCTACTGCATTTTCTCCGGGGCAGGGGGTGGTGACGACACAGCAAGTCTTTAAAAACACACCGTGAAAAGAGGGTGTGTATATGGAGGGAGTGTAACTTATAACAAACGAAAAAGTTATAAGGAGGTCACCAGTGAATAACTATTTGCAAATCTGGTGGAGCAACCTATTGGCAGCAGATTAAAAATGTTTTGCTTAACTGCGGGCTCACATGATCTAGAAGTTTTTTTTTTCCTGACTCTAAAATAGGAAGAAAGAAAAGGTTTGGCGGATTATGTAGAGTACAATAATGGAAAACTCCTCAGCTGTGGTTTTTGGGAACTTTTTTTTTTTTTGTAAAACATGAAACTGTAGTGATCAGCAGCCGTCCATACTGTTACCATAAGATACGGGATTGACTGAGAAGCAAACAGTGAGGGTGAGGACCGATGAGACACAGGGAGACAGACGATCCCAGGGTACTGAACTCCCCCAAACCTTTTCTCCCCACTGCCATTTTTCTGTCTAACCACATTGCTGGGTTCGTTTAAAACAAAAGAAAACATGGAGAATAGCGTGTTCCTTTGGGAAGCTACTGACAAATAAGCAAATTAAAAAGAAAGAGCAGCATGTTGTCATAGCAACAGTGCAATTAAATTACTTTACTGTCAGCCATGATATAATTTTCCTGTTTGGAAGCTCAGGAGATATAAAACTTTCATTTGGAGCTAAAGTTGACTTCAGTAGCTGGGTAGTTCTGTGTGGATATACTGGTAATCAGAACATTTTCTGGTGGGATCTGAGAAATCTTTTAAGAGAGACAAGACTGGTTCTGATTTGTTCATAGAGAAGTTAAAAGCAATAGTAAAGAGGATTCTGTCGTGTTCCCAAACCTAGAGATATCATCTTATTTTTCTCTTTCATGTGCATCATGAAGTACTCCTTATTTGACAGAAAGGAATATTCCCAGTGGAAGAGGCCCCAAGGCCGCTGTACTGCCCTTGCCTGGGTTGGACTGGGGTGCACTGTGGAAGTGTCTCCTCTGAAATGGGTGTGTTGCATCCCTGGGGAGAGTAGGTTGTGTGTCTACCTCAGGGAGGAGGGAAAGTGCCGCAGCTCACTGGCTCCCTTGGCTGAGTGGATGGTGCCCCACATCTCACTTTCTGGAATTCCATTCTAGAGCCTCCTGTCCTGAAGCAGCAGGTACCTTAGAAGTGGTGTTATTGGCCATTTAGAACCTCAGAAAGATCACCCCTCTGCTTTTGATGTTTTTAGGTAGATTGGGTGATCTTATTGGAGGAGGAAAAATTGAAACCAAGCACTTTTCTTTTTCTTTTCTATTTTTACTCTTTTTCTTGTCCCTTCCTTCCTTTCTCCCTTCCCCCTCCCTTGTTCCCCTTCCCATTTGAACATTTTCTTCCCATTTCCCAATATCTAGTGTACATTTTAGTCCTTATTTCCACTTTCGGTTTCTCACACCAGAGAAACAATGAGGTGCTTAAGCATGCGTGTCCGATTTATTTCACTGAAGAATATGATCTCAAGGTCCATCCATTTAACTATAAATGTCTCAAGCGCATCCTTCTTTATGGCAGAGTAGTATTCCGTTATATAAAAAAAACACATCTTTATCCACTTGTAGGTTGATGGACACTTGGGTGTTTCCAAGATTTAGCTATGACAAACTGCCAAGCACTTTTCTTAAGCCAAGGTCATTCTTTTAGCGCTACAAGTGGAGAACAGAAGACTTTCTCATTAGACCCACTGTTCTTTCTCTCCTACAGAGTGCTTTGAGTGCTTGGTATCTGCAGACGCCATTCTGTTTGTGGACTTGCCACTTCCTCCTTTTTCCTTTCTCATCAGATACTATTTTAGTCCCTGTTCTAGGTCATTGATAAAAGTGGGGATGAGGGGAATACAATTGTGTAACAATTTTTGTTGAATTTGCCTTCTTGTCTTGAAGCAGCCAGTTAATCTCCTGACTTTTTTCTCCCCACTGATTCTTTTTTGTTGTTGTTACTGGGGATTGATCCCAGGGCCTTTATACTGGGCTATATCTCCAGGGCTTAAAATTATTTTTTTTTAATTTTATCCTGTTAATTTGCAAAGTTGCCCAAGCTGATCTTGAACTTCCAATCCACCTGTCTCAGCCCCCCAGAGTACTGGGATTATAGGCACTTTGGCTGCTCTTGTTTTTCATTGCCATTTGTGTGGTGCCTGAAGTTTCTTGCTTTTTCATTCTGGGTCTGGTATCCTAGTAAAATTTAATGTATTTCTTCCTTAAGTTCAAATCCACAGAATTCTTTGTCATCCTCTTTAGACTTACCAAATATAATTAAAGTTGGAGTTTTTGGCCCTGACCTTTGTCAAGGGAAAAGTAACTACAAGAACCAAATCAGTAGTCCCTGTATCCACAGTTTTTATTTCTCAGGACCTTGTGATGGTCTTTGTATGAAAACTGCTGAACTTAATCTGAAACACTGGCCTTAAATTTTTTATAGGTTTTTTTTTTTTTCCCTTGAGGACAAACCATGAGACCAGTAACACAAAGCCCCAGGAGTTGTGTGTTGTACTCATTTTGCAGTGTTTATCATGAAGCCTGAAAGAATTTTATTGTAGTCCTGTACTGTATTGTAGAGAACCGAGGCACCTAGAAATAATTGATTTTCACCTGGTCATGGTGAGAGTCTTCATACATCTAAGGAGACAGCATCTTGAAATTTCTCATTCTTTTTATGACATTTGCACATTAAAGGTGCTGTGGATGTTTTCAGTTAAGGGACATTCGGTCACCGCGGTGAGCTGATTGTTCTTGCTCGTGTATCTTTGTGTGGTGGCACTGGGTTTGTGTGGCTCAGCGAGGCCTATGAGGTGCTGTTGCTACGTAGCTGGGACCCGTGGAGGAGGCACGGGGCGGCAAGAGAATTAGAGCCCCAGCTACCCTTGCGATCTGAGTCTCACCAGCTCATCGTTTCTTTGCACTCTCTTTCCAGGAGCCTTCACGTAAATGGGTCCAGTCATGCCTGCCAGTAAGAAGCCAGAAAGCTCAGGAATTAGTGTGTCCAGTGGACTGAGTCAGTGTTACCCAGGCAGCGCTTTCTCCAAGGCCCTTCAGGAAGACGATGACCTCGACTTTTCCCTGCCTGACATCAGATTAGAAGAGGGGACCATGGAAGATGAGGAGCTGACCAACCTGAACTGGCTGCATGAGAGCAAGAACTTGCTGAAGAGCTTCGGGGAGTCGGTCCTCAGGAGTGTCAGCCCCGTCCAGGACTTGGACGACGACACCCCTCCGTCCCCCGCCCACTCTGACATGCCCTACGATGCCAGGCAGAACCCCAACTGCAAGCCCCCATACTCCTTTAGCTGCCTCATATTTATGGCCATCGAGGACTCTCCGACCAAGCGCCTGCCAGTGAAGGATATCTACAACTGGATCTTGGAACATTTTCCATATTTTGCGAATGCACCTACTGGGTGGAAAAACTCAGTGAGACATAATTTGTCACTGAATAAGTGTTTTAAGAAAGTGGACAAAGAGAGGAGTCAGGTAAGCCTCTTGTCTGGAACTGAAAGATTTTTTTAATTGAAAAATTTTCTCTATTAAAACTGACTTTATAGGGCTGGGGATTTAGCTCAGTGGTTTCACTGCCTGCCGCGCAAGCACAAGGACCTGAATTCGATCCCTGGTACCAAAAAAACAAAAACAAAACAAAACTGAATTTATATTTACTACACTGAAGGAGTAGTTAATAAATGGTTTTACTTTATTAAATTCATTTAGGTAGTTGTGAAGAACTTCCTTTTCCTTAAGCATATTGGTTTTGTGTTGGTACCTACTTGAGGGATACATGCTGGTGGGGCTTTCCATAATCACACCACAGTGGTTTGGAGTATCATCCCTCTGTGTGGATGGCTTTAGAAGTCAAAGAAAAATCTGTATTCCCAGAGCAGCCGTTAACCATGAGGTGGCTATAAATGACAAAAGTTGCCACCAAGAGCTAGGGAAAAATGGCATTTGTTTGCTTTCTCATTATTAACTTGTAGAAAGGCGACCTCTCCAAGATTCTAGAATAAATGGACAGTGATGCACTTCGGTAGGATACTGGATGGGGTATACTTCCATACCCCAGCATCAATCTGAGACATGCGTTGCTGGTCTTCTGTGAAATCTGGTACATAGATAAGTGTTTGGCAATCTTGAAAGTACCCGAGTATGAAAAATTGGCTCAGAGTAAGGTTCCTGTTAGAGACTGATTATAAAATCTCAGCTAGTGTAGGGCCAGGGGTTTAGCTCAGTGGTTCCACCACCTGCCTCGCAAGCGTAAGGTCCCAAGTTCGATCCCCGGTACCAAAAAAAAAACAAAAACAGCTAATGCTTCATGCTCAGCTAAAAGAGGATGGTTTTAATAATTTTACTTTTTTTGAAGGAGCATCATAGGTCCGGTACGATACACTAGGGATAGTACTGGCAGGTGGAAAACAAAACTGGGACCTAACTTGGAGTTTTGGAAAGTAATACAATGACAGTTGAAAGAAATTGTCAGAAAATTTCCCTCCGTGTCACTATGTTTCCAGCTTTATTTTTCATGTTACTGATGCTCTTGCAGGCAGCTGGTGTCCTGCTTTTCATGCTTGTTGAAGTTTGGGCTGAGGCACAGGACACCATTGTGTGGAGCAAGCAGCAGCACCAGTCTGGGGTCTTTTAATATCTTTCTCTCCAGAAATATGTTTCTGGGTTTTTTTTTTGGTACCGGGGATAGAACTCGGGTCCTTTCGCTTGCGGGGCAGGTGGCAAAACCACTGAGCTAAATCCTCGGTCCTGCTTCTGTTTTGAGTAGACTCTTGAGCCTGAGAATATTCTACTTGCCTTTGACGTTGAATATGAATAATGAAGTGGTCACCTGGGGTTTATGTTGGAGATGGTGGTGGCGATGCTGGGTTTGGGAGTGGGAAAAAGAAAGATATGGCTACCAAGGAGCTTGACTTTGATCCCTGAGTCCCTTGGTGCTTGGATGGAATGTGCAAATGGGAATATTTGTAAGTCTTCTGGCGTCCTCATTCCCAAGGGTCTTATTTTTTCTATAGCAGTAACAGTCAACGTGTGCCACTTAATGAGGAAGGACAATTCCAGAGTCAGTGAAACCTTTTGTTGTCTCCAGGTATCCAGTTCCCTCTCTCCTTTCATCCATTTCTCAGGCTGGCCATTTGGAGACCAAACCCTAGAGTTGGCTCTGTTGGTGCTTTGTGGTCATTCTAGGAACTTAGAAGAGACTCAGCACTCCCGTGTAAAGATCCAGGCTCTGGTATTAACAGCTTCTGTATAGGGGAAATCTGTGTGGCCAGAAAAGGAAAGTCTGAGGAACAATTCCACACTTAAAATGTAGAGAAGAAAGTTCTGATCAGGGGCCCCCAAAGCCTCATGTCACTGATAAAGCAGTGAACAAGGCCTTTAGTTTGCGCTGAGTGATGCTGCAAGTTACAGCTTGCTTGCGTCTCTGTGTTTGACATAATGCTGGTGTGCACATAAAAGAAATTCAGCAAATGCACACTCTGAAATGTTAAACAAGACCAAGGCTGAAGTATACAGTGAGACCTGCAAGGGTTATTCATCATCATCCCTGGGAGTGTGGCGAGCCAGTGTTAGGTGGTATGTTAAAGCTTACTTGGAGGAACTCCATCTACTCCCCACCTCCTGGACCCCGCATTGGATCCTGGGAGTCATGTTTTCCGGGGGTGTTGGCTGTCAGTGTGGTAAACAGATATCATCTGTTGAAAGGGAGTGGTTTGAAGAATTTGAGATTGTTAATCTTGTGAAATGTTGAGTCCTGGCTTCCTAGTTGCTCTGACCTGTATTGACATGTTTCTGATCAAACGTCAGTCAGTTTTGTGGTTGGGAGTTTGTTCCCAGTATTTGCAGTGCTGTGAGAACAGCGATAGAGTTGTGAGCATTTTCTCTTTTCTCCCCTTTCTTTGGGTGACCCTGGGGCCAGCTGATGGCTGCTCTGAGAGGTGCGACTGCCAGGTACACTCAGGTTCTCCCAGGTGTGCTCAGGTATAACCAGGTATTTTAAGGGCCCTGGCCTGTTTACTTGGGGTTTTCTCCTGGGCTCACTGAGTAAACGGAAAAACAGCACCTCCCTGATGCTTTTCCCAGTGAAAGCCCCTTCAGTTGGGCAGGTACACTTGTTTTTTTTTCTCCCCAGGGAATTTTACCTGGCAGTAGCTCCCATTCCAGGTTCAGTCTCAACGCAAGTCACTAAGTAGGTCCAAATGTTGGTAAGAAATGCATTAGATGAAGATGGGAATGGAGGCCTGGCAAATTACATGGACAAAGGTAGATGTTTCACTTTTTTTTTTAAAGTGGAGAACGCATTTAAAGGTGGCATAGCAGTAAGAACGTGGAATCCTGTGGTTCCTTGTCCTCAAGGGCTTGGATGGAACAGACCACTGGACAGCTGTTTGGCTGGGCTGGCAGGGTGTGAAGGTTCTGGGTTGCATCAGAAGCACCTGTGGCATTTGAAAGCAATTACCATTTCTCCAGGGCCCCTCCCTGGTGAGCTTGATTCGAGATGGGTTGGGAACAATTGATAGTTCAGGTAAGCTTCATAGGTAATGCTGATGCATGGCCAGGTATGAGAATCCCTGAACCAGACGCTCTCCTGGCTTCTTTCCAATCGCTGAGATGTCATCAAGCACATTGTCTCATGAATGAGTAAGTCAAAAGAAAAGCCTTTTGCTTCTGTTTTAGCTCCTAAAAGACTTCAAGGCTGGGATTTGGCTCAGTGGCACTGTGCCTGCTTTGCAAGTGCAAGGTCCTGAGTTCAATCCCTGGTACCGAAAAAAAAAAATGAATAAATAAAAGACTTCAAAGGCTAGAGTTTTATTTTCTAATCACGAACATTTTTAAACATACGCAGAACTGGAGAGAAGAACATGAATCTATACACCACACCCAGATTCAGTAGTTAATGAAGATTTGCCTTACTTCATTCTGTGTCATTGTTACTGCTGAAGTATTTTGAAGCAAATTCTAGATCTTAATGTCATTTTAACATACTTTAGTATGTATGAGAATAATTGGTAATTTCTTATATAAACCATGTTACCATCGTTCCCCTGATGAGCAGTTCATTAGTGTCGCCTAATAGGTTTAATTCAGATGTCCCTGTTTGTTTACAATGTTTGTTGGAATCAGTATCCAAACATGGTTTGTGCCTTGCAGGTGGCAAGGTTGCACTGTTGTCCTTACATTCTTTGTAGTCTACAGCACTCCTATCCCCTTCTTATTTTCACCTTTCCTTGTTAAAGAGAACCATCACTTAGCCTGGAGAATGCCCCACCTTTTGCTTGATTCCTTGTGATTTCATTTAACTTGTTTTTCCATCTCCTTGAGTGAAAGTACGCACTGAAGCCTAGATCCCATTTTGATTCTGGGGCCTTATCCCTAAACTGCTGGGGGCAGATGTCTTGTGTGTAGTCCGAAGCCTGGGTGACCCACTCCTATAGGTCAAGCCACGGGTTCAGGTGGGGTCAGCTGTTCCCAACCCTAAAGATCCACATCTGCCTTTCATCTTACAATTTCACTTTTGGATGATTTTTTGCTAAATTAATTGAGATTGAGCTTTAAAGTCTGGGCTTATGTTTTTACCTCCTAAGTATAGGTCTTTTTCTTTTTCTTTTTTTGGTACGGCGGATCGAACTCAGGACCTTGCGTTTTTTGAGGCAGGTGCGGTGCCACTGAGCTAAATCCCCAGCTCCAGTGTAGGTCTTAATTAGGATTATTAGATCAGCAGGTGCCAACCTCTCTGGGTACTTGTATGCAAGAAGTAAGGTACAGTTATTTTTTATAGATTAGATTATAATGGCTCAGGTGTGTGTTTCTATTTCTGTGCTTTTTCTTTACTTCCCCTCTTGCCATTTTAGCAAAAACATTGTTAGCATCAGAAGGTTTACTAAGGAAACACTGTACAAAGTGTATTTACTATTTCCAGGGCTGAGTACTTTGAATATTATTTTAGATTATGAAGGAGGACAACTTGGCTGAAAGAGGGCTGGGCTGGAAGGCGGGACTCCTGCTTCCAGTTTGGATGCCGGAGCACCTGGTCGTGTGGAGGCTGTGTTTTTTCGCATAAGGAAACAGGAGTTGGCTTTGTTCAGGGTTTTCTGACCTGGGAGTCTTTGGGTGTGGTGCCCTGATGACCAACCACCTGCAACTACTGGCAGCCTGTCTTGGATCAATACTTACTTATTTTCTAGGGAGAGGAGTCTGAGATTTTGTTCGCTTAGTTTTTAGGATGTGTGTGTGTGTTGGGGGGGGGGGAATAAAAGGGATTGAACCCAGGGCATTTGCACTGACCTCCATCCTCAGCCCTTTATTTTTAATTTTTATTTTGAGACAGGGTCTCACTAAGTCACTCAGTTGCCCAGTCTGGGCTCAAGTTTGCCATCCTCCTGCCTCTGCCTCCAAGGGTGCTGGGATTACAAGACTGCCGCCATGCCTGGCTAGTTTTTAGGAATGGACACCTAGGAAGGCGAGGAGCCACTGGT